CTATGTAGTTAAGGCTGGCCTCAAACTCCCAGGGATTCTCCTGTTTCTGCTTCCCGAGTGCTGGGATTACAGGTGTGCACCACCACACCTGGCTCAATCATATAAAACTTTAGAAAACAGAACCTAACCCCTAGTGAGAAAGATCAGATCTTGGGTTCAGGCAAGGGGAGTCATTACAAAGCATAGAGAAACTATGCAGGTGATGAGTATATCTAATACTGATTGTGGTGAGTTTCAAGGTGTATACAGACATCAAAATTATCAAATCATTAAAAAAATGATCAATCATAAGGCTGCAGTGTGACTCAGTGGTAGAGCACTTGCCTAGCATATGTAAAGCCCTGGGTTCAATATCTAGCGCCACAAAACAAACAAAAGTATTGAACTGTACACTTCAAATATGTGTGAGGGCCAGGGATTTAGCTCAGTGGTTCTGCCATCTGCCTCGAAAGTGCAAGGTCCCAAGTTCGATCCCCAGTACAAAAAAAAAAAAAAACAAAAAACTCCTGGGCTTCAAATATGTGTGGTTTATTATTTCAATTGACTCCAATGAAAAAAAAATATCTTAAAAGACAACTAAAACAATCCTTCCAAATGCTGGGGATTTAGCTCAGTGACACTGAGCTTGCCTGGGTCCTGAGTTGATTCCTTGTACCAGAAAAAACAACAAAAAAAGTCTTCCATTGAAATTTCTAGTTAAATATTTTTGTTTTAATTAAATAATAAATGCTTTTTTTGTGTGGAATCAGGAATCAAACTCAGGACCTGTGCTTACCAGGCAGGCACCACTGAGCTAAACCTCCAGTCCTTGAGTGCATTTTGAAGCCAGCTGTGGTGCATACACCTATAACCCCAGAATTTGGGAGGCTGAGGCAGGTTGATTACCATGAGTTCAAGGCCTGCCTGGGCTGCCTATTGAGTTCAAGACCAGCCTGAACTATAGAGCAAGATCCTGTCTCAAAGAACATGAATGAATGAACGAATGACTGAGTGGATAAATAAATAAATAAAAGCATTTGGTTAGAAAAATAAATAGCCCACAAGGGAATAAAGTGAAAAACAACTTCTTCCTCTTCCATGTGGGGTCCAGTTCCCCAGAGAAAGCTTTTTAATCATTTTTATTTTTAGATATTCTGATGATTGCCTTCTTGTCTCAAATTTTTATACTGCTTTTAGAAATATTTTATTTCTTCCTCTCCGTTGACTTGGCATCTTTGGACATTATTGATAGACAGGCTTTTAGGACTGATGAGTATTCAGCTCTCAAACTCACCCTTCATGCCTTCCATCCCCGCAAATGTGGGTACCTCCTGCTTTCATAGGGTCCTCTGTTTCTCACCCTCAAGTCCCTGACCATCGCACATCAGAGGCCCCATTTCCTGTCCCACCTACCTTGGAAGTGAAGCCACTTGTCCCCGTGTCCCTTCTCCCCCTTCCACCTCCCAATCACGGTAGGCTGTGCTTTTGACACCGAGTCACTAACGTTTACCTTCTAGATTATAACACAGACACAGCTTCTGCGATTCATCTAAAGGCTGATCCTTGTGAAAAAGAAATAAATGCAAAGCAGTATTTGGTGAGGTAAATATCATCCACTGCAGAGCCCGGGGGTGTGCGATGATCACAATATCATTGATCGAGGACAACGAACTCTCATCATTTTGCAGATGGAATGGCCGAGATAGATGGGCTCAGAGATTTGTTGATGAACACAGAGCTCACGAGTGGTAGGGACAGGAAAACGTTTTGAGTTTCTGCAAATCTAGCTTCCAAACCCTCAGTTGCCTTGGAGGGAGGGGCCCTTGAACAAGGGTAGCTGCCATTTAGTTTGTAGTTCCAGGTAAGAGAGAGGCAGACTCCATGTAGCCAAGATGATAAGCCTCCATGGGTAACAGTGTCATCAATTAAGGACAGAGAACTCAAAGACAACACAAATAGGCTTATACCTTTTTTTTTTTCAGTACTGGGAATTGAACTCAGGACCTTGAGCTTGCCAGGCAGGTGTGGCGCTACTGAGCTACATCCCCAGCGCAGGTTTATATCTTTTAAAGAAATTGAATCAATAATTAGAAACCTTCCAAAACAGCACCAGGCTTAGATGCGGTCCCTGGCGAATTCTACCAGACATTTAAGGAAGGAATTATACCAGTTCTCTATGGTATACTCAGAAGTTACAGGCAAAGGAAATTATTCTTAATTCATTTGAAGAGGCCAGCATTCCCCTAATTCCAAAACCAGTCAAAGCCAACACGAATAAAGAAAATGATAGGCCAATATCTCTCATGAACATAGATGAGAAAATCCTCAATATATTAGCAAAAGGAAGCTAATTACACCCTGCAGTCTGGTAGGTTTTATCCCAGGGGTGCAAGGCTGATTTCACATTTAAAAATCAGTTAATGCAACCCATCATACCAACAGGTGCAGAAGAAACACTGGACGAAATCCAACATTCATTCACAACAGACACTCTCAGGAGACTAAGACTAGGAAGGAATTCCCCTAACTTGATAAAGAATGTCTACTAAACATCTATAACTAACGTCATACTTACTAGTGAGAAACTCAAGGCTTCCTGTTAGGAGATAGATAGATACAGATATGAAGAAAACCGCAAAACTTTGCTTTGATGAAAGAGATCAAAGATGAACTAAATAAATGGGGAGATATTCCATGTTCAAGGATAGGAAGGCTCAATTTTTTTTTTATACACTAGGGATCGAACTCGGGTCCTTGCGCTTTCAAGGAAGGCAGCAGAACCACTGAGCTAAATCCTTGGCCCAGGAAGGCTCAATATTGACATAATGTCTATTCTTCTGACCTCAGTCTGTAGATTCGGTTTAATCCCAATTGGAATCTCAGAGAAATATCTTGTGGATATTAACAAACTGATCCTAAAACTTACATGAGCAGGCAAAAGACCCAAAATAGTCAATATGGCATTGAAAGAGAAGAGCAAAATCCAAGGAATGATACTACTGGACTTTAAGATGTACAAAGCTACTGCAATCAGAGCAGAGTGGTATTGGTGAAGGATCATACAAATAGATCAATGGAACAGGATAAAGTCCAGAATAGAACAATATAGATTTAGTCAATTGATCTTTGACAAAGGAGCAAAGGGAATATAATAGAAGAAAATGATCTTTTCAACAAATGGTGCTGAAATGACTAGAAATCCACATGCCAAAACCAAACCAAATCAAAACAAAAACCCTATAGATACAGATCTTTCACCTGTCACAAAAAACTAACTTAGAATGGATAATAGACCTACATGTAAAATACAAAACTATAAAACTCATAGAAGATAGCACTAGAGAGAAAAATCAAGTTGACCTTGGGTATAGCAATGACTTTTTAGATATCACACCAATGACACTGATATCAGATAAGCTAAACTTCATTAAAACTAAAAACTGTGCATAAAAGGCAATGTTAAGAGAATGAAAAGACAAGGCAAAAATGAAGAGGAAATACGAGCCAAAGACACATCTGGTGGAGGACTGTCATTCAGAATGTCCAAAGAACTCCTGGAACTCAAGAAAATGAATAATCTGGTTTTAAAAATGAGTGAAAAAACCAAAATGAACAGAAGACCTGAACAGAAGCCTCACCAAAGAAGATATATGAATAGCAAGTAGCCATGGGAAAAGATGTTCCACAACATGTCATTAGGGAAATGCGAGTTAAAACACCTACTAGAATGGCCAAAATACCAAACACTGACCCTACCCAGTGTTGGTAAAGATAGGGAACAAGAACTCTCATCCACTGCAGTGAGACCAGCAAAACCACTTTGGAAGACAGCCTGGAAGGATCTTATAAAACTAAGTACACTTTAAACACACTCTTGCCATATAAACCAGAAAGCACATCCCTGGGTATTTACCCAACCTTATAGCTGTGTCTAGATGTCCCCGCAAAGCATCATGTGGGTATAGGTGGGGCTTTTTCAGAGGTGGCTGGATCTACAGTGTGTGACTGATTCATGGTGCAATGCTAGGATTAAGGTGCTAGGATTAAGGGTGTGATGCTACCCATCCTAAGGGAGGGTAGCCTTGATACAATATAAGGGACAGACAGAAGCTTACTGGTAGTTACTAGTAGTTGGTCGCTTGCTTGCCTTTGCTGTCTTCTGCCCACCATGATCTGTTTTTCTTCTGCAATTCCCCTTTGCCATGCCACCCTGCCGTGGAGACAGCTGCCTATGGACTGAAACCTTTGCAAACTGTGAGCTAAATGAACCTTTCCTCCCTTAACTTGTGGTTGCCAGGTATTTTGTCTCAGCAATGAGAAAAGTAACTAAGACACCCAGTGAACTGAAAACTAAAGTCCACCCAAAAACCTGCGTGTGCAGGTTTCTGGCTATTGTATTCATAACTGTCCCAACTTGGAAGCAGCGTGAGATGTCTCTCAGTGGTTGAGTGGATAAACTGACACAGCTAGACAACGGAATACTATTCATTGCTAAAAAGAAATAAGTAGGCCAGGGATGTAGCTCAGCAGCGCTGAGCCTGCCTGGCAAACTCAAGGTCCTGAGTTCAATCCCCAGTACTGAATAAATAAATAAATAAATAAATAAATAAATAAATAAATAAGCAAGGAAGCAAGCTACCAAGCGAGGCAAAGACATGGAAGAACAGTAAATATGTATTAAAAAGGGACGGAAGCTCATCTGAAAGAGCTACCTACCGTCTGATTCGTATGTGACATTCTGGAAAAGACAGGACCGTGAGGGCAGTAAAAGGGTCAGTGGTTGCTGGGAGTTGGCAAGAGGGAGGGACAAATAGGATGAAAGGATTTTTTTTGGGGGGGGGTTGAATCCGAAAGATACCATGATGGTGGATACAAGAGTTGGTGATACAGTTGTCAAAATCCGCAGAGTACAGTGCCCAGAGTAGCATCAATGTAACTACAGACTTTAGGTGACAGTGATGTAACAGTGCAGGTTTGTCGACTGTCACAAAGGTCCCCCCACTGTGGCACTGGCTGTCAGACGGGGGTTGCCTGGGGGACAGGACAGTGTACATGAGCTCTCCACACTTCCTGCTCAGTTTTGCCATGAACCTAAAACTGTTCTGAAAAAAAATGAAGTTTATTGAAACAACTACAGAGCATAGAAGGAGGAATTTAGTTACTGCTTGGAGAGGGGCGACGGAGATAAAGCATGAATTCCTGTGGCGTGCAGAGTGCGTTGGGGTTGGGCGGTTAGCAGAACACACGCAAGGAAGTGGGGTCTGGGACCCATGCGGTACCAAGGCAGTAGGATTGAGAAGGCAGGATGGCCTAGGCGGAGCAAAAGGCCCAGAAGGCCACTGGGCAGGCAGAGGGGCAGGTGGCAAGCAACTGTGCCTCAGTGGCCCCAGAGAACACCCCAGTACTCAAGCCACCTGGGCTCCAGGGACGCTGGGACCCTGAGGCTTGGAGGCCACGCCTGGGTCCCACAGGAGGGAGTAGGGGAGGTTGGAGGGGAGAGGGGTGATGTTGGTGGCCGGTGGGAGGAACCAGGGCTGAACCTCTTACCCAGAGCCTGAACTTGGCGGGAAGGACAGAAGTTTGAGAGGTATGGGCCAGGGAAGGTGTTTATAGGGTGAGGGAAGTGGGAGAGTGTTTATAGACTGAGGCCTCCATGCAGGTGGAAGGAGGAGGGGACTCCTCAGGGGCGGCCTCCACTTCTTGGAGAAAACTACTGCCAGGGATTTAGCCCAGTGGTTCCGGCGCCTGCCTCGCAAGCACAAGGTCCGGAGTTCGATCCCCGGTGGCAAAAAAAAAAGAAAACACACAACATGATTAGAAAAAAGGAGAGGGAATTGAAAAGATCTATCATGTCATCTCTTGGCTTCTTAGTGGTTCGGTTTTCGTCTGTCAAGTTTTCCTGGCGGAGAGAGAAGGTCACTCAAAGAGGTCCCATCCCAAAACTGTGTCAGCCTAGGGACCAGCACACAACGTGGGGAAGACTTGCCACAGTGGACGGGGGGTCAGAAGTGGATAGAAAAGCTTGTTCTCCTCCTCCCCCAGCCTGGCTCCCAGTCCTCAGTCCCCTCTCCCCTCAGCCCAGCCCTTCTCGGGGACCCACCCCTGACCCCCAAGTGCATGGAGCGGGTGGGAGGACCGAACCACCGTGCAAGTTGAGGAGGTCGGGCAGTAATTGAATCCAGGGACCTCGAGACAGGCAGAGGCCAATGGTTTTTCTCGGCCTAATTAGGGGGATTTTTTTTAAACCCAGGAAACAAATCCATATGGTCTGTGATTCTTTTCTCAGGCTCTTTACCCTCCTGGAGTTGTAAATGTTGTGGGCTTTTTAGCACCAGGGGATTGGAAAGGGGGAGAGTCTGCAGGCTAAGGTTTCTCCAAGGCAGCCAGGTCCAGGATCTGGGCCCCGTGCCGGGGTCCTGGCCCCCACCCCAGCCCCTGCACCCGGCCCGCGCCTGGCAGGCAGCCGCACCCCACCCCCAAGCCAGCCTCCCTCTCCCCCAGGGCTCTTCTTGGGCCAAAACCTCTGCCCCCAGCCAGCCCTTCTTCTCCAGCCCCCTGCCTGCACCCCCCTCCTACTCTGCCCTCCTCTGTGTGCGACCTGTTTCCACCATCAGCCTGGGAACTGACCAGAGTCAGAGATTGGCTTTTCCCTCAGTCTGGGGGCTTCTGAAAAGTTGCTCCACATAGTTTTCATCTGTAAATAGCAGAAGGCCCTGAGGCCAGACCTAAGGCACACAGGAGGGAGGGTATGGAGCTTTTTGTTTATATACACTGCAGGACTTGGGATTGAACCCAGGGCCTTTATGCTAAGATACACCCCCTGCCCTTATTTATTTTTTATTTTGAGACAGGATCTGGCTAAGTCACTAAATTGTCCAGGCTGGGCTCAAACTTTGCATCCTCCTGCCTCGGCCTCCCAAAGTGCTGGGATTATTACAGGCCTTCGCCACCATGCCCTGCTCAGAGCTTTGCTATTTCTTTCTTTCTTTTTTTTTTTTGGTACCAGGGATCGAACTCGGGTCCTTGTGCTTTCGCAGCAGGCAGTGAAACCACTGAGCTAAATCCCCAGCCCAAGAGCTTTGCTATTTCTATAAGAAAGAGGCCTGAGCCCCTCCAGGCTGCACCTCGGGGGGGGGGGGTCTCCCCTCTACAGGACTAAGAGAGCACCCGGAGAAGATGGGAGGCATGGAGCTTGTAGTAAAACCAGGAGAGAGGCGAGTCTCTGGTCAGTAGCTGAGGGACTCTGCTTAGGGCTTTCTAAGCCAGGAGGTCCCTGCTGGAGACCTGGGGCTGCACATGTGGGGAGGGGAGCCTGTTTTACACTCGTGTCCTAGCTGAGCCTTTGGGGTTTGTTTGCCCCAAGAGAGCCCTCCCACGCACAGGGCTCTGGGGAGGGGGCCCAGGCCAGGGCCCCTCAGCAGTCACACAGGATTGGTTCTAGGGTCCTGGCAGACCCCAAGTCCCTTGTATAAAACGGTGCATCCAGCCCACCTCACCCTCCTGGATGCTCTAAACCATCTCCAGATTACTTTAACACCCAGTGCAATGTACGTGTGACATGAATGCTTGTCACACGTATTCTTCAGGGAATGAGGAGAAAGAGTCCATACCTGTTTAAAACAGGCACAATTTCTGCCGCCTGCCTCCCAAGCGCGAGGTCCCGAGTTCGATCCCGGCACCAAAACAAAACATGTTTCATGTCGTCTTGGGTTCTTGCCAGTGGCTGTCTCTCTGGCGGTACAGATCCGTGCCCTCTGAGCGAGCGCCTTGTCGCCATGCCTCGAAAAATTGAGGAAATCAAGGAATTTCCGCTCACAGCCAGGTGGAAGGATGCCAAATCCATCCAGATCAAGAACAAAGATAATGCGAAGTTTAACGTCCGGTGCAGCAGATATCTTTATACCTTGGTCATCATAGACAAAGACAAGGCAGAGAAACTGAAGCAGTCACTGCCCCCAGGCTTGGCAGTAAAGGAGCTGAAATGAACCAGCCAGACTGATGTCAAGTGTATTAAAAAGCTTCGAAAGTCAAAAGGAGGGGCCACAATTTATTTATTTATTCCTTCACTTATTTACTTTTTGGGGTTTTGGACAGGGTCTCACTATATAGTTCAGGCTAAGAAAAGATAAAGGCTAAGATCCAAAACCCCAAAGTCCAGGAGAATCCTTTCCATGCAGGTTCCTGAGACCACATCCGAGGGAGGCCCAGGCAGGCTCCAGGCAGTGGGGACAGAGGGCAGCCACTGCAGAGGCCCTGTGGGAAATATGGGCTGTGCCCAGGAAGGGTACAGGGAGGGCAGGGTGGGGTCCCTCTGGGGGCCTCTAATGCCAGGCTGGGAGGGACAGTGACTCAAGTATAATTTAAGACAATTATGTTAATAAATATAATTTGACAAGGGTGTGCTAGGTCTGGCCTCACATGTAGAGTGCTAGCTTTCAGTCCCACAGCACATTGCCACGGGAACTTCTGTTTATCCCCACGTCAGGGTTTAGGGAACAAGGGCTCAGACAGGATTTGGGACCACCCTGGCCAAGTCCCCAGAGCTGGCAAGTGGCAGGTCCTGACTTTGGGTCCAGGATTATGTGGCTCTCAAGGCCACACATTGTCCCCTGGTGTCCCAGGGGATGGGGCCAAACTCTGTCCACAGCAAAGGTCCCTGTGGGGCCACCCAGAGGGACCCAGCAGAGACCCAGAGAGACAAGTCTGGGTGTCTCAAAAAGGCAGATTTATTTGGAATCCCAAGAGAGGGTGGCAGGGCACCAGGCATAGTGGTGCATGCCTGTAATCTCAGCACTCAGGAGAGTCACCAGCCTGTGCCACATAGCTAGGCCCTGTCTCAAAAAACAAACAAGCAAACAAACAAACAAACAAAAAAATAAAGGTGTTGGGGTCCTGGTGAACTACTACAGAGGGCAAAGAGGTGGACAGTTGAGGGTGTGTGGAGGGGTCCGGGGAAGGGTCCCCAGGGTGAGAATCGGGTCTGCAGCATGTCGTGTGTCTCCTGGCCCCACCAGGCCTGGTCTGGCACCAGTCCCCTGCTGCCTGCCATGGGGGGCTGAGAGCAGAGCAGAGCCGGTGCTGAGCCCACATCAAGGTTAAGGCGCCAGGCTCCGAACTGGGATCCCTTTGTTTTTCCCTCATAGGTTCCAGCTGTCCCTGCCACTCTTTGAGGGATACTGCAAGGGGAATGAGCCGAATGGAAGTAGGCTCAGTTCAATCTCCCTCTCCCCCTGCTCTGAATCCCAGCCCCAGCCCAGGCTCTGCGCCCCAGGCCCCTGTCCCGTCTCCGTTTCCATCCTGTCTTGGCCTCCACCCCAGCCTGCGGGCAGCAGAGCCAGCCTGGCACAGGGGACAGCACAGGAGGAGAAGGTGCTGGGGGTTGTGGCTTGGCTTTGCCAGCTTCTCTCAGGGGTCTGTGTGCAAGTCTCTGGGTACCAGTGGCCTCATTTCTAAGGTGGCACAATATTGCCACTCTGCCAGGGCTAACAGATGATTGCATGAAGGTGCAGCCATAAAGTGCTTTGCAGGTTTTAAAATGCTAGACAGGTGTCATCTGGGGTCACTAAGCAGTGTCTCTGGGGGCTCAGTTAACAGGCAGCTGCATTAGCTCCCTGTCCCCTCGGGTCCTCCGGGGTCTCCAGGCCTCTCTCCCATCCTGAAGCGGGTCTCCTGGGTCAGTGACCCCTCTACCCCCTGCAGGCCTGAAGAGTGGGGTCCCCAGGCCTGGATGGTGCTGCACCTCTGTTCTTGATGGAGGGTCCCCAACTCCATTTCAGGTCTCCTGGGTTGGTCTGTGGCAGTGTCAGCTGACTAGGTTCCCTCCTTTGTCCCTGGCTAGCCAGGCAGCTGGTGGGGTGCAGTGCCACAGCCTAGCCAGGATCACAGCTTCCCTCTCCCCTGCCCTCACCTGGATCACTGCTGGGTTCGCCCGGCCCCAGGGCCTCCTGGTAGCTCCCCAAGAAGTGTGCAGCAGGCCCCGGCCTGCCAGGCATGTGGCACCCTCTGGGCACGTGCCAGCCCATGTGCTGCCCCAGATGGGGGCCCGTGGTGCCCAGGCTGCTGGGATGGCTCCCTCGTGACCCTGATGTGAGTGTGGCGGCACTGGCTTCCAGCCACTCAGCCCCCGGAAGAGATGCCATGAACCTGACGGAGGCTTATTCATCCCAAAGAGGTGGATGGGAGCTCTAGGCTGAGGGTCTCCTTGCAGAGCACGACCTCACTGAGACCTTTAGACGGTTTCTCTCTCCATTTTGACTGGACTCGGAGTTCCTAGGGAAGCAGGTGCTGGGGCATGGGCAGGACGAGAGGAGTCGGAGCCTGAGGACCCAAGCCAGCCCCCTTCCACTGGCTGAGGAGCCCCCAGGGGGTGGAACCTCACAGGCTGCGGAGTCCCGGAGAGGGGGCGCAGCTCAAAGTCACCCAGCTGGCAGGCGATTCAGAAACATTCCACCTGAACTCTGGCATTCCCTGCACTCCTGACACAGCTGAACTGGGGCTCCTGCTCCTGGGGCCACTCCACCTCCGCCTGGCATTCTTGGTCTCCCTGAAAGCCTCCTCCTCTCCAGAGCACCCCATTTCTTTCTTTCTTTTTTTTTTTTTTTTTGGTACCAGGGATTGAATTCGGGTCCTTGTGCTTGTGCAGCAGGCGGCAAGAGCACCCCATTTCTATCAACAGCTCTGTCACCCCCAGCTGCCAAGGCTGGAGCCTGGGGCACGTCCAGACTCCCCTCTGCTGTACTGTTTTCCACTGGGTCTGTTCCCCTCTTCTGAGTGTTTCTTTTTTGGTACCAGGGATCAAACTCGGGACCATCTCTTAGTGTTTCTTGAGTTGCTTTCCAGGCTTCTTCCCCACCTCAGGCAGCCACCTCACAGCCCTGTCGGCCCCTAGGTCCTTCCAGAACATTCTCTGCTTCAGGCAATCTCAACAGTCCCTCATTCGACCTACATCCTAGCTCCTCACCTTGTTCCCATGACTGTGGGGATCAAAGTCAGCCTCTTCTCTGCCTGATGGTCTGTCTCCAGCTGTTCCATCCCTGTACCCCAAACTCTGTCCAGTCCCCAATGAGCAACCTGCGTGGCTTCCCTGCATGACCCTCTTGGGTCCCTGCAGCCACTAAGACTTCCTCTCCAATATCTCCTGGATGGTCTTGCACCCCAATACCCACTTGCTTCACAGGGGTTTCTATCAGAAAATCACTCTCAGGTTGCCTAGTGAGGAAGAAGGAGCCCCAGTGTTGAGTTAGCAGGGGGGCTGCAGTTTCGGTTCTGGGAATCTCTGTTGGCAGCCTGACCTCAATGTCCCCCGCTCTCAGTTCTCTTGCTACCTCATGATGGAGTGTGTGGCCTCCACCTTAGCCAACTGGTGATCCATCACCTCCCAGGCCAGAGCGATGGGCCCACCAGAACCAAGGGCACTGGGGACTTTTGCTGGGACTCTTGGGACCAAGTACTCTGCTTCCCATGGCCTTGAACCTGAAGTCCTGCAATTCTCTTCCACCACAAGGAGAAGCCCAGTTAGGAAACAGACGCAAGGAGAAGTGAGAGAAACAGGTCCCGGGTATTGCTTGGCCTAGTGCCCTCCCACTTCTTTTTTGTTGTTGTTTTGGAGACAGGGTCCCGCTATGCAGTTCATTTCAGGGTGGCCTTGAATTCACTATGTAGCCCAGGTTGGCCTCGGATTGGCAGCGATCCTCCTGTCTCAGCTTCCCAAGTGCTGCGATTACAGGTGTGTGCCACCACGCCCAGCTGGACTTCCACTTTCTGATGAACAATAAATTCCCTAAACCACCCTGGGTTGTGTACCCCACACCCCGGTGCAGCACAAAGGTGTCTGATTAGTGTATGCAAGAAGGAGAGGGGAACTCCCAGGTGGCTGGCTTCCGGCTCCCAGCATCATCTTCCAGAAGGTCACGGGTGGCCTCCCTCGGCTCCAGCATTGATTGCATGTCCTGTGTGCACTGCTGGCATCCCGAGGGCTGCAGAACTAGATGAGAACCATCTGTGCTGCTGATGGGGTCCCAAAGGTGGATGCTGAGCCCCAAGCCAATGACTTCTGGGGGGGCTCCAGGCCCTCCTTCCTTCCTGGCTGACTCAGGCAGTCACTAAAAATCTGTGAGTCACTCGAATACAGGAAGAGGGTGCAAACATTCTTGACTTGTCCAAAGGGAGCCATCCCAGCCCAGGGAGGAGACCCAAACCCACCTCTCCCAGGAGCCCTTTGAGAATGTTGCTGGAAGCAGCTGGAGCAGGGATTGCTGGGAAGGGAGCCCCAGGGATGGGAAGTGCCTGGATGCTGTGGGAAGAGGGCAGTGCAGAGTCTCCCAGGAGGAACACAGGGTGAGAGCTGGTGAGAGCTGGAATGTTCCTGACTGTTCCTCTGTGCTGGAGCCTCTGGGAAATGCTGCTGGCCTCAGTGCTAGGCTGGTTCTGGGGCTGGAAGAGGCAGACAGCTCAGCTGGAGCATCCTGGGAAATGGTGTGACTGTGCAAACCCCTAACTTCAAATCCAGGGATGACTCACCTCAGATGTGGGGCTAAGGAGGGCCATCGGGCCTGGATGGGCATTGCACTGGAGTGGCCAAGTGTGGGTCCTGAGAGTGCACCCCAAGGACCTGGCTCCAGGGGGGGCCCAGGCAAGAGGACTGCAGAGGAGAGCATGGTGTACCCAGGAACGGTCAGCTGGAGGGCAGGGTGCTGGGGGGAGCAAAGCACAGGAGCCCGAGGAAGGAGCCCTCCGAGCCTCAGATCTCCTGGGGCCAGATGCGTAGGGCCTGGCCTGGTCCCTTGGCCTTCTGCCTACCAGCTGCCACCAAGCTGGGGAGGAACCTGCTTTGCATTATCCCAAGAGCTGCCTGCCCCAGGCATATGGTCCACAGACCCCAGCCCAGAGCATCATGGGAGATGGCATCCCTTGACCCCCAGCTCTGGCCCAGCCCCTTCCCTGGGAGCACTGGGTGCAGAGCCTCCCACCGTGCTCCGTGGTGTAGCTCCCTGGGGTTGGCAAAGATGAAAGATGAAAGAGCCGATGGGGAGCCTCCGGGTTGGAGGCAGGGTGAGGGGGACACCTAAGAGGTGGGGTGCCGAGAGCACTGATGACACAGGAGGAAGCAGGGGAGTCTCTGTCTGTCCTCTGAGCCCCCTTAGTGCTCAGAATGAGTGGATCCTACAGCCTAATGTGGTGGTCACCAGCCACTATGGCTACTGAGTGCTTGAAATGTGACAAGTCCAAAGTAAGAATAAAACACACACAGCATTTTCAATAATAATGTTAACTTGGGCCGGGGATTTAGCTCAGTGGTTCCACCGCCTGCCTCACAAGCTAAGGACCCGAGTTCGATCCCCAGTACCAAAAAAATAATAATGTTAACATATTGATTACGTGTTGAAATAATTCTTTACATTAGGCTAAATCTACTTGTAAATTCACCTGTTAGCTTTTCTTTCCTTTTTTCCAGTACTGGGGATCAAACGCAGGACCTTGTGCTTGCCAGGCAGCTGCAGTGCCACCAAGCTACATCCCCGGTCCACATGTTGCCCGTTTGCTCGTGTAATGTTGCTACTAAATGGTTTTAAATTGCAAGTATATCTCTTGTATTAATTTCTGTTGGGCAGAGCTGTTTCCGAGCGCACCCATTCTGTTAGCCAGTGTGAATCTGTCAAATGCCAACTCTGTGTCAAGCAAGGTGCTAAGGATTAGAGGGTTAGCAAAACCAGAGCTTAACTCTGGTTTCCTGGAATTTACAGTAATCAAATATTAGGCATCCCAACGGGTGCCTAATTACAAAGAGAGATGAAGTGGTCTAAAGCAAAGGAAGGGGGCATGGTAGTTTCTGAAGCTGAAGTCAGGAAGCCTGATTTGGGCTCTGGGGTTTTTCCCAAGGAAGTGCTGGACTGATGTGGCTTGGGAGAGAGAGTGCTAGACAAAGAAGCAGCAGGTGCAAATGTCCTGTGGCAGAGGGAATAGCACAGCTGTGAGACATGCAAGGAGACTGGTGGGGGGGCTCTGAGAGTGAGGAAAACAGCACAGAGAGCAGTGAGCCTCAGGAAGGTGTGGGGTTCACACTCAGCTCTCCAATACCACAGCAAAGATGGGGAGCTCTTGGGGGAGAATTAGAGGAGGAATGGAGGCCAGGCTAAGGAGGACAAGAGGGTCTGTCTGCACTGCAGGGGGCGGGGTGCAGAGGGACCTCTGGCAGCACGTCTTTAAGGATCTGTACCCCATAGCCCCAGGAGTGCTGGGTCAGCTGCAGTCACTTCCGGCCTCCTCAGATGCTCACTACAATGCAACCTGGAGGCCGGGAGTGTGGCTCTGCAGAAGAGCTAGAGGCCTGGCTTCAATCCCCACCCCCAGCAACAAACAGAAGGCACCCCAGCTCTATGGGTGGTGCCTCTTCCTGGCTCCGCCCCCTCCGAGGTTCCCAGTCTACTGCATCCAGACCCCTTTGCCAGACCCTCAGAGGCCTGCCCTGTGCATCCTGCCACTCCCTCCCTCTGCTCTGGCTCCCAGCCCTGCAGCCTCCCCAGGCTGGCTCTGCTCCCCCCCACTTGGGGCTGAACCTGATTTTAGGCCACACACACTCCTCCCCGAGCTTCCTAACTTACGGCCCTTAGGGCTCAGCTTCTGTGGCCCTTCCCTGACCCCTGGTGCCAGGGGCTGCTGGGGCCTCCACTTGCCTTGATGTGGCAGTGCACACCATGTAGGGCCTGTCTGCTCAGTCTTCTCAGGCAAGCACGAAGTTGTGGGGCTGGGGTTGTGGCTCCTCGGTAGAGTGCTTGCCTGGCCTGTCCAAGGCCCTGCACTTGCTCCCCAGCACCACAGAACCAACTAAATAAATAAGAGTGTACAGTTGCAAGCCAGGAGTGGTGGGGTACAGCTGCCATCTCAGCACTCAGGAGGCTGAGGCAGGAGGATCACTGAGAGTTCAAGGCCAGCCTGGACTACCTAGTAAGACTCCAAATCCAAAGAAAGAGGAAAGAATGTGCCATCAAAATGGAAGGCTTGGGCCAGGGATTTAGCTCAGCGGTTTCTCCGCCTGCTATGCAAGCGCAAGGACCAAAGTTCGATCCCCAGTACAAAAAAAAAAAAAAGGAAGGCTGCATTTACACCTCCCTCAGCCCCGAGGGACAGCACCAAGAGACTACATTCCTTCCATCAAAACGAGGAGCAGGGCTCCCTTAGGACAGGAGTTCTGCCTCTCATCAGACTAGGAACACCCTTGAGTCCCGGACTGTCCCTCCATCAGACAGGAGGCACCTTTGAGTCAGAGACTCTGCCATCTCACAGGCTGTTCCCTAATACGGAGATCATTTCTCTGACCTCCTCTGAGGCCTTCCTCCCCACACCCAGTCTTCTTGCCACTATCTGTGTGTGTGAGTTGGGGAGAACAACAAAAAGGCCCCTCCTCCTTGTGTCTGACTCCCCGGGGTCTGGCTGGCTCATCTCCCTGGACGTGGAGTCAAGAAGGTTTCTCTGTTGCTCTTTCTGGAAGTCCATGCCTCCCCTGCCTTCCCCAGTAACGGAAGACCTGAGCCAGCTACCAGCAGAAGCAGCTCTGTCCCCTGCCCAGCTGGCCTCAGAGGCGGGTAGCAGCCTGGGCCCAGAAGCCTGCAGCCCCAGCAGTCCCCAAGCCTGGGCCAGGCCAGGGCACCCAGCCAGGCAGGCAGAAGCCAGGGCTGGGATCCACCCATCAGAGTTGGAGGGCCGGGCCAGTCAGCCTCCTGCAGAGCCATCTGGAGCCAGATTCTGTGTGCGCTTGTGTGTGTGTGTATGTGTGTGTGTGACAGGCCATGTGGGTGGCTGGGAGCTGTGGGGTCATGACCTGGGCCTCCTGGCAAACCTCAGGGTCCCCTGTGGTCAGTTTCACTTCTGACATCTGATCAAGTTCACAGCTGGCCAGCTTCCCCCATGACTGTTTCTACTTTCCCTTGCCAAGACCTGGGGGCAAAGGGCCCCCTCTCCTCCCCCTCCCACTAAAATGAGCCTCGTGGCTACACAAGGGAACTTGCTGGACTTCCCAGGTGGGTGGAGGGGAAAAATAGGACAAGAACTCACCGAGTTGGCAATTACACCTGGAGTTCCCGGGACACACGCAACCCCAAACAACTCTGACTCCCAGAAAGCCTCTTCGTACTTTTTCTTTCTTTGCTATTTAATGTTCATCACTTATGTTCTATGTGTAGGCTTCAGGAGGGCCCAAGAAATGATTACACAGGATGCAAGGGGAGGTGACAGGCCGGTGGCAGGAGGTCTGGAGCACGCAGCTCCCAGCTGCAGGGCCAAAAGGGTTCCGTTGTCGCAGCCCAAGGGAGGGAGGCGGGGACCCTAGAACCAAACACATGCTACAACATACTCGCAGCCCCTAACGCCCTCCCCAGCTGTGGTGCAGGAAAATAAATACCCTCAGTCTGTTCCATGCCCCAGGGGCTTGGGTGAGGGGCCAGCAGGTGTGCTTCCTCCTATCACAGACTGAGGTCACCAAGTGTCACCTAGTGCAATGCTCCTAGTCCCTACTACAGGCTTGGGAGAGCCCTGGGTGGGGAGGGACGGCGGTCCCTGCACCCCCTGCCCGGGCTCCTTCATGCTAAATAGAGGGGGCACATTCATTCCAACAGCAAGCAAAACAACAGGCCAAGAAAGGGGTGAAAACGCCACTGAGACCCACGGCCCCTTTCTGGCCACTCTAAGGAAACGGGTCTTCTAAGTTGGGAGGAACCCCTAGAGGTGATGAGTCCAACTTGATTCCTTCTTGCTTCGTTCCCACACCACCGGCCTGCTTTTCTTCATCAAAATCTCTGGGCCCAGCCAAGGCCCGGCTGTGGGAAGGGGCGGGGAGCATTCCCCCACGCAGGGCCCTGGAAGACAGACGGACGCCAGGCCCGGGCTCAGCATCCTTGGCCGGCCAAGGCCGGGGTGGAGGAGACAGTCCGGCCGAGCTCAGCTCCCACCAAGATGCAGCACTGGCAGCGGCCCCAGCAGGGACCAGTCCTCAGCTGAGACGGGACTCAGAAAGTCCCATCCTGTGTGTGTGTTGCTGGGGGGAAGTGGGGGCCTGGTCTCTGACTCCTAGGGGTGTGTTGGCTCCAGGTCTGTGCCAGGACAAGGGGCACCAACAGACAGGGGGACAAGCCCACGGGGCACAGGCATCGGGCAGCAGCATCCCTTCCCACAATCCCCAAACCCGACTCCTGCGGACAGACCCGAGGGCCAGGCCTCGGGCAAGCAGCCCAGCCCAGAGGGGCCACACAGGGGCCTGATGGGTACCCTAGAGAGGACTGAGCTTCAGGACATTTCCCCGAAGCCACTTGGACTCCTCCCCCAGCCCTCCACAAACCTGGGGGCCCTCATTCAGAGAGGGGGGCTGCACGGCATCCCCCTTGGCTGGGTGGCCTGGGGCGAGTCACTGCCTCTCTCTGGGCCTCACTGTCCTGCATGTAAAAGGAAGGGGGGACAGGGTTCCACACCCGCTTCCAGCTCAGCCAGGCCCCTGATCTCTCATCTCAGGCCAGCAGGGAGGGCGCGGGAGGGCTTAGGCTAGTACAGTCCCCCTCGCTCCCCAAGTTCACAGTGTAGAGTCCATGGCTCTGGCTCCTCAGGACCTCCTCCTGAGTCTCTGGGCCTCGTCACTGTCCCACACCATCCTTGAGGGCAGCTCCTCCCCAGCTGAGGTGGGAAGGGCTGCCTTCCTAGCGTGGGTGGAAGGGAGGGCAGGCGGGGGCAGGGAAGGCCACTTCTCTCGCTGGAGAGGGTTGTGATCAGAAGCGAGGGGCCACAGAGAGGTGTGGCAGGGCTGTAGTGTGGGCCAGGCTCGGAGGCCCTGCCCAGTGGAGCCCAGCTCTGTGGGCTGGCCCACCCCTGGGGACATGGGCTCCGAGGGGGCTGGCCGGAGCTTCAGTCGTCGGAATGTGGGGACAGGGCGGGGGGCTCCCGGCCGTCAGCTCACACGGGGGACGTGGCTGTGGACTCGCTGCACAGGCTCTCCACGATGTCAGCTCGCTGGATGCGGCGCAGCGCGGCCAGGAGGGCGTCGAGCGTCGCGCTGTCCTGGGCGGCCCAGCTGGCGAGCAGGGCGCGGGTGGGGCAGGCCTCGTGGGTGAAGGAGTCTATGTGCTCGGGCTGGTAGCCCAGCTCGCCTGCCAGGTGCCGCCAGGTGTCCCCGGCCGAGCTGTTCAGGAGCTTCTCCACCTCCTCCCGCTTGGCAGGGGGCAAGCTGCTGTAGAGGCCGCCGTCACCCTTGAGGGCTGCGGGAACCCAGAGGGCATCAGTCTCAGCCCTGCACCCTTCTCCCCCACAGCAGGCTGGGGGCTGGCATGAGCCCCTCTCCTCCCACTGCAGAGGTGCAGGAAGGCAAAGAGGAGTCCTCGATGGAGGCAGGGCTAGGAGGGGGCTGGGGCACGCTGGCATGCTGTCCCCTCCTTACCCACTGCTCTGGCACCATCCTGGCCACCTAACCCCTCCCACTCCTCAGCAATTAATCAAGGCTGAGGCGGAGACAGGACTCCTAGCTCCAGACAACTGTAGCGACTGAGCGTCCTGGAGCCTGAGGACCACTAATTAGGGTCCATACTTGGCCACTTGTTCCCCAGAAGCCCAGGGCAGGAGGCTAATTGCAGTTACTTTGGGCAGTAATTAGCCCCCAGGGGGGACAATTAGCTTGATGAGTCTGGATACTCTGACTTGTAAAAGCTTCCATTTCGCTGGTCACCTGCTGGAAAGGCCCGCCCTTCCCCTGCCCCTCCCCCAGCGGCTCCCAGCCTGGGGGTCCCTCCTGTAGTCTGATCTCGATCAGGGTACTGGCCACCTGCGGCCACTCACCCTGACCTGAGGCCGTCTGCGTGTGGGGCTGCTGATCATGCAGGCTCTGGCTGTCCACAGAGATCCCGCTGTCGCTGTGCAGCTTTTCGCCCTCGGGTGGGGGCGTCTGGTTCACGGGTCTGCTGTTGGCTCCTTGCTTGTTCTGCTTGCAGCTGTTCCACCTGGGGCCGGGGGACAGGCCAGCCCTCGGGTGAGGGATCTGCTCTGATGTGTAGGGCCAAGGACACAGAGGGGCCCCCAGGGTTATGACAGCCTGAGGACAGCTCCATGAGGTTCGGGGCACTCTGAAAGCGTTCGGTGGATGTTCATGGAATGGGCAGTGCATGAATAAATAACTTCTCAGGAATTCTACTTCTCCCAATCACCCCTTCCAAAATACTCCCACATGTGGACAGCTATACACACAAGGATTTCCTCTGCGATTATAAGCAATAACAAAAAGCTGAAAACAAGCCAAACGCCCATCACATGGGGACTGGCGACACAAATGATTTTTTGCCTATCCACCTTACGGAACAAATGGTTGCCAACAGTCAGATAATCTGTGACCCCAGGAAAGTTGGCGGAACTGGAGTAACTGCACACAAAAGCAGGAAAATGGGTAGACTGTGACCTCGTTGAGGCTTTAAGAAAAACCTGCGTGTCTACATATGCTCATAAAAGGCCTTATATACATGCAGTCATACAAAAAATGCATAGAAAATGATTGGGAAGGATCCTCTCCAAACAGATGAGAAATTTTACAATCATGTATTACTTTGATGACTTAAAATAATTAAGAATGGGAAATGCATTTACAACTTTAAAACACTTTCCTGGAGTTCTTGTACCTTCCTGTCCCTGGATGTGGATGTCAGGAGCCAGTGGTGAGGGGCCGGAAGAGAGGCGAACACTGAGGGGTGGTAAGAGAGGAGCCTAAAATGGGGTTGAGTTAAAGGAGCGAGATGGTACACGCCTTTAATCCCAGGCAGTCTCAGAAGCTGAGGCAGGAGGATCACAAGTTTGAGGTCAGATTGGGCAATTTAGCAAGACCCTCCCCCAAAATAAAAAGTTAAAAAAGGGCTGGGGATGTAGCTCAGTGGGAAGGCCCTGGGTTTAATCCCAGTGCCACCAAAAAAAAAAAAGACAGTGTTTGTGTTTTAGGTCAAGGTCAGCAAACAGCCCTCCTTCAGGGCTCAAGTGCCCACTCTTGGGGCCTCTTACCTCTTGAACACGATGTAGGCCACGAGGCCCACGACCACGGCAGCCAGGATGGAACAGTAGACGGGGATGAGGTTGTCGGCAGTGCCTCGAGTCACTACGGGCTGGGAGCTTCCCATCACGGTGGTCACCACGTCTGCCACTGTGCTGGCCACAAGGTCTTGTCCGGGAGGTACCTCAGGCTCCTGGGTGCTGGGCCCTGTGCTGTCTTCGCCCTCTGGGGGTGTGGGCCGAGTGATCCAGCGGCCAGGGATCTCTGGGGGAAGAAGGGCCGAGCTTGTGAGGTTGGCCAGCTTCACTTCCTTCTGGGCCCCTGGACCTTCTTGGGTGCTCATGGGGCTCAGCTATTGTTATGCACAGGCTCTGGGCTGTCCTGTGTGTGTACATGTGTGTGTCCATTCTGGTGGAAAAGAACAAGGGCTGCTGCAAAACAGGAGGGCACTCAGCTCCTTCCTGTCTCTGAGGCCCAGGGTCTAGGCAGAGGGGGGTTGGGTACAGGGCACAGCTGGCATACATCCCTACCGCCTGTCCTTGGGCATGGCCAGCCTCTGTTTCCCCACATCACCTGGTGGGGCCACTGACAGAAGACCGTGCCAGGTAGCCTGAGGCCTCCTTGGCAGGAAGCAGGGTGCCAATGGAGAGAGCCTACAAGGCAGGTAATGCCCACTGCTTCAGGGGAGGGAGCTTATGCCTGGCCACCAACTTGAGCCTTCTCATGCCAGCTGGGTATTACCAGCCTCTCTGGCAGGAGCCGGGCACTTGCTGGCACCAGTGGATGGGATTTTCCATCCTACCACCCAGCCAGGAGCAGCGCTAGGGGTTTTGGGCTCTGGATGGCCTGGGGATGCCTGCCCGGGCAGAGCTGCCTACTGAATCTGTCCTCACTTCCCACACCTGGGGCAGGGAGGGAAAGCAGAAAGGGCATGTCAACGGGGTGAAGGGGAGGGCACCCTGCTCCTTAGTGTGCCCACCCAAGTTGGAGCCAAAGCTGCCTACCAGCCTCCTGGCCTCCAGGACTCAAGACGGAGATGGTCAAAGGTGCTCATTGTCAGCACCTTCTGAGAGGTGAGGCCCCCAGATGTGGGCCTGGAACCCATCTGGCTGGCAGTGGGGAGAGGCTGCCATCCACCACCCCATCCTACCTCCCCATCTCAGCCCTAAGAGGGGGTGCAGGCTGCAGATACAGCTCAGTGCAGACTAAACCCCAGGCCCAGAGGTGGGAGGGTGGGAAGATAAACTCAGACCACCACAGAAATGAGAGAACACAGCAGGGCAAAGAGAGCCTGACCATCCAGGGCACTTTCTCTCATCTCCTGAGTCCCCCACGATGGGGACCGGATGAGATCCAGATGTGACCATGACACTAGCATTCCAACCTGCTAAGCCCTGGGCAGGTCCTGACGGCCACTTCCGGTGTGGGTGCTACACAACTTGGGGATGGAAGGAGGGACGGGACTACCCCTCCTGAACTTCACTGGGGCCAGGGGGGCCTTCTGGCCTGGGGTGGCTGAGTCACCAAGCTAACACCTGAAATGTATACCAGGTAGAGGAGGGGGCAATCGGACCAGAATCAAATTCCACTTCCTGCAACAGACGCTGGGCCTCAAGCTGAGGACACTTAACCCTTAGAGGCTGGGGATGAAAAGGGAACAGGACAGGGATGGACAAACCCCTCGGATGCCCTTCTCCTTAGAGGTGGCTGGGAAAGTGGACGACCCTCCTCTGCCACCAACGTTTCTGGCTCTCGCCGCGCGCCTGCCTAAGTGCCCCACTGGCTGGCCCGGACTTGCCCATGGAATGCTGCTGCCCACTTGCCTGCTGTCTGCCTGCTGAGCTCCCACCCGACTCAGCCTGGCACCTGATGCCACTTGCCCATCTCCTGGCTCAGGGCAATCTCCACAGAATCCCGCTGGGGTTAACGCCCCATTTCTCCTCCACCCTCTTCCCAGGCAGGAAGCGTCAAACACATGCCTGGCCTCAGCCCAGCCCCGAAGCCCTCTGCACACCGGGGCACTCACAGGACTTGGAGGGCAGGCCCAGTGCACTGGAGCCAGCGTCTGATGGGAGGCTCTCAGATGGGCTGGAGGCACACTTCAGGCAGAGGCTGTGCTGCCTCCAAGGTGGGGACCGACCTCTCCCCCAGCTGGGAACTAGATGCTCCCCTATCAGACTGGAGCCAAGCCTGCCTCTCCTGTCTGTTGTACTGCGAGCTCCCTGAGGGAGGCACTGTGTGCCTGCTCAGCATGAGGCACAAGCCCAGGTTGGCTCTCAAAGGGAAACAGCTCTAATTAAAGGCTACTACTGGCTGCCTGTGTCTAGCCGGGGTGGGAGCACACTCAGTTCCCATCCACTGCCCCATATTGAAAGCATCCGTGAGACCCCACCTTGTCCCCCACCCTCTGGGCTCCAGGGCTGCCACCCCCTTCTTTCTGCCTCAGACCCCCACCTCCCACCACCTCAGTGTTCTCTGCATCCAACTCCATCTTTCACTAAACTGCCACAGGACTGCGACCCTGTCCCCAGGCTCACAGGCAAAGTGGGGCCATCCCACTGTGTGCTCTTCAACCCTAACAACCCCCAAACCAGATGGCCAGGCAGGAAACTGAGCATCAGGGACAGGAGAGACACTACTCAGTGTCAGGGACAGTTCCGCCCCAGGTCTTACAGCCAAAAGCCACAATAGACCAGGCCTCAGAGTGAAAGGGTCCCCACTCCTGCCAGCCTCGGGCCCCTTTGCAGGGCAAGGAGTTTGCCTCGAGCGGAAGATGCCCTGCTCTGAGCTCTGATGGCCATGGCCCCCTTCAGTGGCTGTGCTGCCATCCAAGCACTAGCTGGTGGGCACAGAGGGACGTGGTCCTCAATGTGGTTAAATGGAGCAACTGCGCTCTGGAAGAGGATCAGACTGGCTCTGCACATTTAGCCCGAAGAAGGAAATGAAACTTAAGGATCCCTGAGGGGGACAGGATCAGAAACCATCACGAAGGCCCACCAAGGACGCCTGCTTGGCCTGAGGTCTCAGAGCTGCCTGGAGGCCGGTGGACCCCTGGAGACCCCCAGAGGGCGCCCTCGCCCGACTCCAGCCCCGCGCGTGTGCACCCCGCGCTCACCCTCGCACTCCGCGTCCGCCCAGCGCGTGCAGTCGCGAAGCTGGCGCTCTGTGTCCTCGCACACGGTGCAGGGCAGGCACGGATCCACGTGGTTGGCCTCGTCGGAGTAGGTGCCGTCGGGGCACTCCTCGCACACGGTGTTCTGCTTGTCCTGGCATGAGTACACGAGGCCGGAGCCCGCCTCGCACACGCTGCACGCCTCGCAGCGGCCTGTTGCCTCATCCTGGTAGTAGCCGTAGGCGCAGCGGCATACGGCGTCGTCGGCCTCCACGCACGGCGCCGACATGCTTTGCAGGCCCACGCACTCGGTGCATGGCTTGCACGATTCTGTGGCGCTCACCACGTCGGAGAAGGTCACGCCTGCGGGCAGAGGGGCCGGCAGGGAAGCAGGAGACTTAGCCACCTGCTCCCTGGGCACCGGGGGTGCAGAGGCCAGAGTCCCTCCCACCACATCACTCGCCAAGGTGCTCGGCTTCTCTTCAGCCTCGCCCCCTCATCCATCGAGTCCCACCCTCTTCCCCGAGTCCCTGATCCCAGCCAGGAACCCCATCCCCCAGGCCCCAGAAGCATCTGGCCTGAGGCTTCCCCGGGAACTCAGCTGGTGCCCGTGAATTCCTTGGCTGATCATCTCAGAGACTTCCCAGCCCTGCGCCCTGGTTTCCAGCATGATTAAGGAACAAGCTGAGCATCGCTCCCACCCAGCCCTCCCCTCGGGCCAGAGTGGGCTTCGAACCCAGGCCAAGCAGGCAGGAGGCCTTCGTTAGGGAGCCTCCTGCCTCAGCCTCCCTGCTCCCTCTCCGTGGGTGGGGGCTCAGGCGCTGCTGGAATGGACCACAGTTAGGTGGCAGAATTTCCCACCCGTGGCGCTAGGGTTCAGCCCTGGAGGGTGGCAGCGACCCCAAGAGTTAGGGCGCAGCAGGAGGGATCCAAGCTAGAAAGCAGGAAGGACTGGCAGGGATGGTCCTGTGGCACACTTTTGGCTCCTGCTTCCTTAGTGGGTGTGAATGGTGTGCTCCGGGGTCCTCTCCTCCTGGTGCTGGGGCCAGGAAGGGGCAGAGCCAGATCTTCCTGGTTCCTTCCAGCTGGGGTGGGACATTCTGGGACACTTGGAATTGAGAAGGACCTATCCTTGTTCTGAGGGCAGGAAGTCCATGGATTCAGACACCTGGGAATCCTTGGGAGTGGGGCTCGGGAGGCAAGAAGGAAAGGTGGAGAAACCCTAAGGGACTGAAATTAGGCAGGGGAGGGAAGGGTCCATCGAGGGAGGGGAGCCTGGGGGCACTCGATTTGGAGTCCTTTCTGGCCCAGGAGTCCTACCCTGGTCTCTTTTCCTAGGGAACAGGCAGATTCCAGTCATCTATTTCTGTCAGTAGTTAGCTGTGCGACTTTGAGGGTTTTACTTAACCTCTCTGAGCTTTTTTTCTTTCCCTGTAAAATCTGGCATATTAGTTCCACCCACAAGGTTTCCGCCAGGGATACATGAAGCTCATGGTAGAGCACTCAACACTCGGCCAGGATCCTATAAAGGTTGGGTCCTGTGGGTGGGCAGTGATAAGCACAGTGAACTTGGGTGGTGAGGACACAGTCGCACCGGTGGGCAGAAAGGACTTCCAAACCCAGACAGCCACGGCAGGATGTCCGATCTATACAAACAGGAGCGTCCTATCTGGTGGGCTTGTGGCAGGGGCCAAATCTGGTCATTCTGGTAGGGAAGAGGAGAGGCCGCTCCTGGGAAAAGCCAGAAATTAGCAGCAAACTCCTGGGAGTGGGTTTTAGGTGGTGTGAAAAATATGGGCTTTCTTGGCAGAGCATGAAGGCAGGAGCTTAATCGGTTTCCTTGTGGAAACGTTTTGAGGATAGAGGGAAAGTCCGCTGGGGTCTCTAGCCCATAAAGTGGGCTTGTGAAGGCAGCCCATAAACACAGCTGGAGTCGTGGGGGAAGGGAGGGAGGAAGGGGAGGGGGAGGGGGAGGGGGAGGGGGAAGGGCGAGTACTCCTTGGCAGAAGGGAGTGGGTGCCAACCCTAGGGGTTTAGGCTTGGGCGGAGTGCCCAAGCTAGAGAGTACCCAATGAGACAGGCAGACTTTGGTGGGTCCAGGACCTGCCATGCCCTTTGATGCAGACCTATTAGGCCAGGGCCAGGGTGGTGCCCCAAAGGTGCCAAAGCCTTCCCACTAGCCCAGATGTCTTGGTGCAGGAAAGGGGATTACAGGAACCATAGCCCCCAGACATAGGAAAACAGTGTGAGTTGAGAGTTGCCTGAAGGACAGCTGGGCTGGGGGAGGTGGCACCCGGGTTAGGGGGACGACCTGGCTGGCAGATAAGGGGGCTCAGAGTTTCCAGCCCTATCCCTTCCTCCCAGCAGGGTTAAAGAATAAGCAGGGTATGGTTTCCTCTGGGCATCCAGGTGGGCACTGAATGCCAGGCAGAGGGCAGGCTGACTGGTAGCAGTCGGGGTAAAGACTCCTGCCTCCAAAGGGCACAGAACTCAGAGGAGACTAGAGCCCAGGGGCCCAGACCTGCCAACCCTGGGCCTCCCTCACCCCGGGAAGTGAGGTTCCTGCACTCCTTTACCCCCCAGAGCAAGGACATCCTAGCGCTCCAGTCCCCAGCGCTGCCGCCTTGGGAAAGCTCGGCTTCCTTCCGGGGCCTGGCGGGGAGGGGCAGACACGCCCTCCCAGGAACCCCAAGGTCAGTCTCGGGCCAGCGCGGATGAGCTTCCTCCCCTCCCCCAAACACACAGGTTAGTTGCAGCCATTGATTTTGCAGTGCGGGGGAGATATTTTTAGCTGCTCTTAGCATCTGCTTGTCGGCCACACTCTTCTACCAACCTCTCTGCTCGGGCTGGGAAGGGGCACCCCTGGGGATGCCCCCTGCGCCCTCACCCACTTTCAGCTTCTCCTCTCGGCCTCCTGTGTTGGGACAGAGCTGCTGTGGGTGACCACTGGGCATGCTCCTGCCCTCCCCTCTGTCCTGTCCCCCGTCCCCACCGGCCACGCTGTACTCACTGTCTAGGCAGGGCTCACACACAGTCTGGTTGGCTCCGCAGGGCTGGGCCACACCCTCACCCAGGTTGCAGGCCTTGCAGCACTGGCCGCTGTGGGTGTACAGGCCTGTGGGACATGTCTCCGTGGCACCTCCTAGGGACACCTAGGTGGGGGAAATCAGAGGTCAGCCTGGCAAGAGAAAGGGGGCAACTTCCGAGGGATCAAGCGCCCCATCCTAGTGCTTTGTATTGGAACCACCTGTGCGAGGGTGAGCTCACAGGGAGGCATTAGGCACATCAAAGCTGGCCTCGGGGAACAGGCAGCGGGGGACAGTGGCTTTGACAGGCTGCTGGGCAGTGAGGGCAGAGCCCCGGATGCTAGCCTTCTGCAGAGTTCACCTTGGGGTTACGGCTGCTCCTGGGATCCTGAGGATACACCAGATGGGGAAGGCGGCCTGAGACCCAGCGAGGGCCTTCCTTCCGGCAGGGTGTCATGAATGGTTGGACAGGTTGCAGCCTGCACAGGGCCCCCAGCCAAGGGGGCGAGCAGAGCTGAAATCTGGTCCAAGCTCCACTCGCTAAGCTTCACACCTGCGGGGCTGCCTTTCCCTGGAGGAGGGGCCTTTTCCTAACAAAGGCGAGCAGGATGCTTCTCCTGTCCTTAATTCCACATCTTAAATATCAAACGGGAGGTGTCTGTGCCCAAGAGCAGAGGGCTGGGGCCTCGAGTTCAAATCCTGACTCTGCATGGAGGCTCTGGCCTGCCCCAATTCTCCACTCGGAGTCTTCATCTCTCCATAGAGACGGAGACAGCTTGGCGCCCCGAAATTGACCAACGGATGGGCAAGTGTCTGGCGCCAAGGCAGGGAGAACGGGACACCTGTTCTCAATGAGACAGCAATGCTCTCCCCACCAGGCTGCCCTGACCCACCAGGGTTTGATTTCCAGGCACCGGCCCTCCCCTGGCCCTGTCCTCCCATGTGGCCACTGGAAACAGAGCTGGTACCAGGGGAAAGGGGAGTCAGATTCCTGCCACTGAAGCGCCTTTGCTGGTGCATGGAACAATTTAGCACCAGACTCCCTAGCAGGAGGGACTGCTGGAGCCTTGCTTTATATTTGTTCCACCAAAAAAAAAAAACCCTTCAACTTAATGTCTAATAAAACTCCAAAGCCTGCTTTGCTGGTTCCAGAGCCTGCAGCCTCCATCAGATGCTGAGAAGTTGAGGCTCTTGGGTCGTGGGAGCAGAGGGGAGGTTTACAAGGTCTTTGGGGGGCATTCCTCCGCTGCCACGCTGGCACGAGCATGGCTGAGACATTCCTTTCACTCCAGACCTTTAACGGATCCTGCAGTCTCAGCAGGGCTTGGTGGGGAAGGAAACGGGAGGCAAGGGACACAAGAGCTGACCACCTAGGATCAGCCGGGGTCTGGAGCCTGGTGGGAAGGGTGCAGACAGCACAGGAGGGAACCGTAGGTGCCACCACCTTGCTCAAGTGCCAGGGGCACACAGAGCTGGGAACATCTGCGGGCCAGGAGCCTGGGGGGGCCCAGATACAAGCTTTCCCTTTGGAGCCAGATTCCAGAAGGGCCTGTTTTGATTTCTTTCCATCGCTTATGGGTCTGCTTAAATGCCACTTCCTCAAGCAAATGATCCCTCGTCCCCACCTCCTCCCAGATTGGGGTGGGGGGTGCTGTCCTGTTCCCCATTGGTGCTTTGCCTGATACTTCATGGACTCTAGGCTGCTAGATCCCGGAGGGCAGAGACTGGTGGTACTGGTCCTGATGCTGCAGCTGGCACACAGTAGGGACTGGTGTATGTATTTATGGGCCTTAAGAACATGAAATTCTATATGCCCTCCAGGCACTATAAGTCTAGAGGGAGAACTCTGGCTGGCTGGGTGTCTCCAGGGTCAAGGGTATGCTGGACAATCACCCGGCATTTCCCCTAATGTGTTTCCTACTGGCCACCATGGTGACTGCCCCATTCTGTCTCTGGAACATACCTCCATGGCTTCTCTGGGGCTTGGACTCACTATTTACACCAGCATTTTTTTATTCTGGTACTGGTGAGCAAACCCAGGGCCTCATACATGCTAAGAAAACATTCTACCACTGAGCTACATCCCTAGCCCTTTAAAAAAATTTTTTTATTTTGAGTCAGGGTCTCACTAAATTGCCCAATCTGGCCTGGAACTTGCAATCCTCCTGCATCAGCCTCCAGAATAACTGGGATTACAGATACACACCACTATGCCTGGCTTCCTGTCAGCTTTTGTATAGTTTTTCTGTCCACCCTTCCTGTCAAGGTATCAGCTATCACTTCTGGCTGCTAGCAGAGCTTGACCTAATTTATTAGGCCTGATTGATCATATACAGTACTTCGGGATCCTTCTCTTTTTCCCAGGGTCTTTTCCTGCTACCTTGGTGTCCTCTGGCTGTGTTCCAGTTAACTGAGATCAGTAGAGACTAGGGCTCTGGATAGTGGAGGGAGACTGTCTGTGGTAGCTGTGGGTAGTGTGGTAGTTGTGGGTGAGCCCCTCTGCCAGAAAAATCCTGCTCTTCCTGCCCTTGCTCCTTCCTCCTCTCCAGACTTGCATTTGGAATGGGAACCACATCTTTAGTAACCATGTGCTTCCTGTTTTCTGTCTCCTCTACTATAAAATCCCAGATCTGTTACTTAATAGCATATGAGTTTGAATACATGACTTGATCTTCCTAAACCTGTTTTCTCATCTAAAACATTGGGTCGGGAATGACTACTGCATAGGGTTTCTGTGGAACTGAGTGAGATAATGTATGCAGATATGTCTGGTGTACAGTGGGGATTCAATAAATCCAAGAAGTAGCTCATTTTAGGGAGTCTGAGCTGCAGACCGCAGACAGGTCCTAGTGGGAGGGAAGAGTTCAGCCAAGCAGGGAGGGGTGACTACAGCTCAGGCCAATGGCTCCAAAATCAGACCTTAAATGATCCATTTATTAAAATGACAAGACACATTTGCCTGTAACTTATATTTACTAAACTTACTCATTTCCAAGTTAATAGAATGATTTAACATTTTCCAGAATGCTTACAATCTTTTCTATTTTGTTTTATTTTAATTTTGGCATTTCACGGCTTTCAAGGAAGTAAGGTTACCAGGGAGCGGGCGGGTCACCCTGAACACGCAGGAGAACGCTGCAGAAAGGCTGGCCCGGGGGAGGGCTGGGCTCTGCGTGGGGAGAAGCGACTCGGTTCTGAAATGGTGGCGCCAAAAGCCAACTCCTGGGCTTGGTGGAGGGCCACACCTCTTTTAGAGATCTGGAAGTTGGTTTAGGGAGGAAAGATTAAGAACCCAGCCAAACCTCCGGAGTCCCCACGGGCGCGCTGTAAATGGGACTCGCTAAAATCACCTTGCTGGGACCTCCCGAGGATTCAACACCCCGGAGAAAGCACCTGTGGCAGCGCAAGGCGCGTAGTAGGCACGCAGCACATTTTACCATTCCCGCTTCCCCACCTCCTCCCCTGGGGAGGCATCGAGGCGCTAGAGCAGACTGGGCTGGCACCCGGGGTGGGGACCCTTCCCTGGCCGGCCGCCTCCCCAGCTTCCCACGCACCCACCCCCACCCCAGCCCGGCCGCTCGCGCCGCCCATTTGCTGCCCCCTCGCTGCATCCTTCTCAGGCGCATTAGCCAGCGCAGCGTCTCTGGTTACAGACGTCTGAATGACAAAGTGCCTCCATTACCGGCGCGGACGCGCTCCGGTTTCAGCGCCGGCCGCGGCCCAGGAAGAAACTCGGGCGCCGCGCGGCGCAGCGCCGGCCCGGGAGGAGCAACGGCGAGAGCGCAGCGGCTGCGGCCCGCAGGTCTGAGCAGGGGCCCCACCCCCGAGCCCCCAGGCACCCCCACGCCCAGCCTCCCTTCTTCCAGGCCTCTTCTCTATTCCTGGACATCCTCTCCTTCCCAGTCCCGAGCCCACGCCTCGATCCCCACTACCGGCTACTCCACTCCTCCTCCCCCGGCCTCTCTGGACCACCGCCCGCTCCAGCCCGGCCAAGAACTATCTCCCACCCGAAAGTGGGCTCAAAGTCGCTCCCAGGTCCCCAGGCAAAGCCACAGGTGCTGACAGCTCAAGGGAACCAGGGCTGAGCGTCCGAGTTGAAACCAGCGCCCCCATACTCCACTGCCACCGGACTCCGGGGTGTCGACCCCCCCCCCCATCCCGTGTGAAACGCAGCTCCTAGGCCGAGCTGGGACTCCCGCCTCCCCCTTGAGAGATGGGGGAGCACCTAGCTTCGAATGGGGTGAGGGTGGGGGTCCCGCCACGGCTCTGGCCCGACGGACTTGTGAGATCTTAGCCAAGTCCTTTGAAAGCTCTCAGAGCCTCGGTCTCCTCATCGGTACGACGGGGACCTGAGGGTTCAATGCTCGGGTGAGAGATGAAGGTGGCAGCGAGCGTGAGGACTCCACTTCATTGCCAACCTTCAGGTCGTGCACCAGCTCACAACTCCTGGATACCTGGAGCTACTCCGCGCTGAGGCGAAGAGCCTGCCGCCTGGCCGAGTCGGCGCCTCCGTACGCGGTGGGTCAGAACCCGAGCCGGGGGCCCCTGGGCGGGGCGCGAGCCGGATCCGGACCCGGCCAGGCTGCGGGAGCCCGGAGTGCGCGGCGCCGCTGGGCTGGGGTCCGGCTGCGGAGGGCGTCCCGCGCCCCGCAGTGCCCCCTGGGGGCTGCTCGGGTCTGCACAGCCGAGAGCTGCGCGCGGCCCGGACGGTCGCCGCTTTGTGCGTCGCCGAGCTCCGCACCTCGCGCGGTGACCGAGTCAGGGGACGCCGGCTCCCTCCCTGCGCGGCCGCCGTGCACCGCGTGAACGCGGCGTCGGAGTCAGAGGAGCCCACTCGGCTGGGGCACCCCGGGCACCCACCGCAGCCCCGTGAGGCGCATGGCCCCTACCCACCCCGGCATTCTCGGCCGCAGTTCCCGGACTGGGCGAGGCCGCGAGAAAGGGCGCCGGGGCGCGCGCTGTCTCTGTCCGGCTGTCCCCCGCGGGACAGGAGGGGCCCCGCCACTTTAGGGTCCACGCTCGCTTCTCACTTGCTTCATCTCTCTAGCACGCCTGCCCTCTTCCCTCTTCTGTTCTTAACTCTCTTCAGCCCGCCCGTTCCTCCGCCGCTCCGCTGACCCCCCCCCCCATTGTCTGGCCGGTCCCCATTGTCCACGCCGGGTCCCCTCCGCCTCCAGTCCCTCCAACCTCTTCCCCTATTGTTCCATCGCTCGTCTCCGTCCCTGCCCTGGGCCCTCTGGCCCCCACATCCCTAGTCCCCATCTCGTTCCTCCTCCTTCCTTGGTCTCGGTTCGGTCTCAAGACTCCCCAGAGACCGGGATGCTGAGAGAAAAGTCCCCTCGGGATCCCGACCTTCAAGTGCCTTCTTTCCAAGAGCCCAGGTGTCCGAGATCCCCGCCCGGCTCCCCACTCCGCCTCCCGCGGTACCCAAGGATCCGTTCGCGGGTCCTGGCCGCAGCCCCATCCCGGGACTAGGGTTCGCTTGTGCGCTCCGAGGATCCCGGACGCTCCCCGCTGGGTCCCGGCACCGGTGGCCCTCGTCCGACACCCGCTCCCAGCATGTGGGACCCTAACACTCCGCTGTCTGGTGGGTGAAGGCGCGCGGCCCGCCTCGGGGTTTTGATCCCGGCCGGACTCACCCCCGGGAGCAGCAGCAGCAGCAGCAGGCGCAGCCCGTCCATGGCGCGGCCCGAAGCACCTGCCTGGCTCGCCCGCCTCTCGCGGCAGCGCTCGGCGTCCGGCTCGGTCCGCTCTGCGGGCGGATGGGGCTGCGGCGCGCTCGCGCGCCCGCTGGGGCTGGCCTGGCCGAGGCTCCGCTCGCTCTGGCTGCGGGCGGCGGCGCCTGGGTGAAGCCAGTGCGGCGGCCCCGCCTCCTCCCCGGCCCGCCCACCCCCGGAACCGCGCCCGCCCGCCCCGCCGCCTGGGTGGGAGCGGGGGAGAGGAGGAGAGGAGGGGAGGTGGGGGGAGCCGCGCCCGCCGCCGCTTCTGCGCTCCCCGGCCCATCGGCCGGTACTGCTGTGGGCCTAGGGGCCAGGGCGTCCCCGCTGCGGCTCGCGTTCCTCTCCTTTCGGCTGCGGCCCGCCGCAGGGTTCGCGCTCCTACCCATCTTCCTCCGCCTCTGGCTTCAGCTGCTTCCCGGTGCCTGGCGCCCTACCCGTTACAGCCTGCCGCCCTCTCTGTCCTCCCAGGGCTGGGGGTGGTGGGGCGGGGGGTCTCTGAGCAAAGGCAACGAGTGCAGGGTCATACCCTGATCCAGTGGCGTGCAAGGCGGAGTCCATCCCAGCCTCATTTGAATTCTCAAATGATGGATTTGAAAATCACAGGTGTGCACATGAAACCTAGGCACGCAGAGCCCATATATGTGCCTGTGCCCTTGCATAAGTCCACACCGACCTCCTGCACTCATGTGAGCAGGGACTTCCTCCACACGCAGGCACACCCGAGGTGACGTTCACACATCCCACACGTGCACATAAACAGTCACATCTGCAGAAGCCCTCACAGGTACCCAGTCACACAAAGTGCACACATTCATGAACCCACACACCTACCCGTGGATGGATCCCCAGTACAAACTTCACTGACCATGCCAGGACTGTGAGCTTCCTGCAGAACAGGTGCTCGGTTTTCAGTCTGAGTGCCTGATACAGTCTGTGTTGGATAATGGCCTGTATTGGGCAGCGAATGGGAAGGCTGTTCCATAATATGTGGGTGTCCCCAGGTCAGGGTGTCCCCACCACTGGATAGTACCGTTCCTTCTCCACTGTCACCCTGCCTGGCCGCACCCTCCCCTGGTTCCTAGACATTGGGCCCAGAGCACACAGCTTGAGGGGAGCTCATCTGCAAAGCCCCCTCTTGAACGATAGGGATGAGGGGGTCCAAGAGGTCTCATAGAGAGGGCTCCGTTGCCATTGGTGGGTCATTTTCTAGAGCAGTTGAAGTTCATTCATTCATTCGTGGAGAGAAAGTGCAGGGGGGCAGCCCTGGAAGGCACAGGTAGACATCATTGTGGCTTCGAGCATTAAATTATTTATGGGCCGCCAAGACTGGGTGCAAGGCCGGGGAGTGAGCACCTCTTCAGGAGTCCCTGAGGACTTTCTCCTCCCTCGAGGACAGGGATCGCATCTAAGATGTCTCCTGCTGCTCCTGCTTTTACTGCCTTCCTCAGCTGAATTCACAGCAGGCAGGAAGGGGCAACATTAGTACTAACAGCAGCGTTGATCTGCGTACTACCAAGGGTATCGACAGTGTGGCATTCATTTAAATACTCCTTTATTAATTTAGGATCCCAGTTACTATTACTGCCAAGGTTATCCATCTCAACACACTTTAGTATGACCCACACCACATGGCTGGGGCCAGGTTATTAATAATTTCCATGGTCTTGATCATTTAAGCATTACACGAACAATTACAAACAGCAATGGTTACTATTATTAGCAGGATTTCTATGATTAAGCCAGAGCCCAAGACTGAGAGGTAGTGCTGAGTGCTGGTAGACAGAGGGCCATTGAGTATACAGAGGAGAGAGCACCGTATGAGGGCCAAGTGAGGAAACATGTTCACTGGAGGAAGGACTCAATCTCTTCTTTATTCGTCCAGCCTGGGTTTACTGAGCACCTACTCTAGGGCACATACTCTTCTAGCCCCTGGGACTCAGTGGTGAGCAAAGGCAGGAGGCCTCTCAGAGCTGGTGTTCTAGTGTGTTAATAACTTGTTGAGAGGGGTATTTTCTAATGTAACATCTTGGCTTGGTCATACTGGAGGTCGTGTAGCTGTGATCAGGATGTGTCTTTGCCGGGACGTCTGCGTTACCATGGCCACAGCCACCTACACCAGAACCAGCACTGCTAGGACCACCATAAGCATCACCACCTCCATCATCACCACTCCTGTCACCATCACGGCCACCTATAGCTACCCCAGCACCACTATGACCACTGTCACCACACCACCACCAGAGAGAGCATCACCACCAGAACAACCCCGATGGCCACCAGGTGACCATGGTGACCACCGTCAAGCCATCGCCACTGTGACTAGTGCATCATCACCATCACCGCCACCTGCCCCAGGCATCTGCACCGTCACAGCTGCAGGGATTCCTGTTCCCAGCCAGAGCTGGCTGGCCCATTCCGCTCCTACCCCGCTGTCACCTGCCCCTGCAGGAAGCTGGGCTCCCAAACACAGGTCCGTGTCCCCCATTCCATTCAGGCCTCTGTATCTGGTCTCCACCCTGGGAACCAGCCTGCAGCTGCCACCCTGCTCTGAGCAGGAATGTGAGGGCAGACACTCCTCAGCCCTCGCACAGGCCAGGAAACCACACCGGGATCTCCCTTGGCCCCCACTTCAATCCCACAGACATTCCTGGGAGGCCCGTTTTCCAGACAGAGGGACTGAGGCTGAGGAGGTTAAACCACAGGCCCAAGGGCCCCAGAGGGAAGATGTGGCATCTACTGCTGCCCCACTGTTCTGCACTTGGCCCTGCAGTCACACTCCTGGCCATTAACCCCAATTCCCAGGTCGCTCCCCCCGCCCCACCCTAACCAGCCCCAGCAGCCTTCTGTGGGGTGGGGAAACAGTGAGCTCTGTCTCCACACATGCCCATTCAAACCCCTGACCTGCATTCAAGAATCTGGGCCTGGAGGCTGGGGCAGGGCAGGCGGAGGTGGACCTGGGGGATTCCTGCCAGCTCTGGCCACTGCCTCAAGGGAATGAATCACTTCCAATCCCCAGTGCCCAAGTTCAAGCACAGAGGGGTGAGAGGTGGGCGTGGAGACAAGAATTTCTGCAGGAGAGAAAGGCTGAGGGAAGGAGGAAATGCAGGCCTCTCGCCAGCTGCATCCCATCTGCCCTGGGCAATCAGCCAGGCAAGGTAAGTGAAACCTGCTGTCCCCATTAGGAGCCGCCTCCGTGGCTTTGAAATGCGCTGCAGGGATTGCCTGGGAGCTAGCTCCTCTGGGCCACAAGGGGGGGGCCTGAGCTGTGTTAGTGGCCAGAGGGGTGGGAAGAATTATCAATTTTGGAGTCTAGTTAGATTAACTCAAGCATCAAAGTAGGCCAATTGCACAGTGCCCTCCCTCCCCACTGCCCGCTGCAGCCTCCCAGGCTTGCCCTGCCCCACAGGACCACATGCCCAGCATCTCCCACCTCGGAGCCACCGTGAGAACTGCCTCTCCTCCTTTGACATCACAGTGGAGTTGGCCTTAGGCTTCCGTCTTCTGGTCTGCACCCTTCAAAGCCAGCTCCTACCTGGTGCTGTCCAGGACCCCAGGATCTGGTCGATTCTGACAACCTCGGTGGTAGGGACTTTGCATCTTGGGGGATGGTGCCCACTGGGCAGTGCTACCCCCGGAGATTTCCGGGCCTTGTGGTAAGAATGCAGAGGGGGTGCAGGGGAACTGGGTGGGCATCAGGGCACCCAGCCCCCTCGCTGGCTCTGGCGGCCACCCCAGCCTCTCACCTCCTTCCTGAGCACATCTTCCTCAAGGAGGTTCTTCCCAGCTCAAAACTCCCATCTTCCCTGTACCCACGGATTCTGAAGGGTTCGGTCCTCGTTCTTACTTTGTATCTTGCATTCAAGGACAAGCAAGATGTTTTAAAGGAAAACTGAGTAGGGGCTAAACCATAGCTGGAGCATTGGGAAGCCCACAACGGGGAAGCTGAGAGAGTCAGCCGTGGGGACCCGTGGACCATTTATTTGCTGTGTGGCCTCAGGCCAGTGCCTTCCTTGCTCTGAGCATTTCCTCATCTGTAAAATAGGCCTGAGATAGGGCCCTCCTAGACTTACTTTGAGGAATCCAGAAGTACTGGGTGTGAATGGGCTGGAAAGTTGGAGGAGCCTTCCCGCCTCAGTTAGCCTCCTGTTTGATGCTATTAGTGATGGGGCTTCTGGCCTACAGGCTGCAGACCAGATGAGGGGTGAGATGACATTTCAGCCCTAGACTGGGCCCCAGGATCCTTCCGGTTGCAGATAAGAGCCAGAACAGTGCTAGGCCTTGGGCTCCAGCAAAATTCCCACGGGAATCCGTGGAGGACGAGACATCCCAGACCCAAGCTTATCTGGACTCCAGCGCGTCTGGGAAGTGGGGTCAAGTGCCATTGTCTGGGTTGGTTTCCAGCAGGCAGGGCGAAGGCCATGGACGGGAGAGTCTGGATTAAGCCATGCTGCCTCCTGCTGTGGGGGAAAACAGTCAGGGGCCAGGGAGGGGGAACTGAAGGAGAAGCCTCGCTTCCCAGTCCCACCCATCTCGAGGCGGGGGCTGTTCTTCTGGGGGACCCCTGAAACCTGGCTGGAAACGTCAGGGCTGAAGGTGGCGCCCAGCGCCTTCTGCACCGGCCCTGCCAGTGTCACCAACTGTACTTGCCCAAGGACCACCATCCTAGGGATGGCGAAGATGTGGCCCTGGGCTGGGGACACTCTAGTCTGAGGGGGACAGAGTCCTTGCCAGGGATGCTCCACTACTCTGAGGAGGGACTAGAGTCCTCCGGAACCTGGAGTGGATCTTCCAGGCACGCCCCTTCTCCCCTCCCCTCTCCTCTCCTGTTCCAGGGCAGAGCCACAGCCCAAGTCCTTGGTCCTTGGAAACCTCAGGCTGCGAGGGGTTCCCCAAATAGCAGCGTTTTGCACCTGGAGTTCCCATTACACATTGTAGGCTGGGAGTTGGATTCAGAAGTAGAAGGCCGCCCAGACATTAACTCCAGCTGGGGAAACTGAGGCCCACCAGCACACTGCACATTCCAGGGCCGGGGGCGGAGTGTGGAGAGGGGTCTATAAAGCAGCTGCAGCTCAGCATGGGAAGAAGGCCCTGGGGGAGCAGGTGATGGGGTTCTCCCTGTGTCATGGCCCCTGGGGCCTGCTTCTCCACCCTGCCCCCACTCCCTGGGGAGGGCCCAGGCGTTTGCTCAGCCCACGGGTGCCCAGAAGGGCATGGGGTGGGGCAGCTCGGGAGGAGCTGTGGCCGAGGAAGTGCTGAGTCGGCACTCAGAGCCTCGTCTCCTGCTCCATTATTCATCCCGGAGGGGTCACCCTCCCCCTGCCCACCCAGCCCGGCTCAGAGATGCCTCCCCACCCGCCCCACCCCAGGGCTCCCCCCTCAGCTGGAAACTCTTAAGCAAAAAGGTCGTCAAGATGATTAAATGCGCACAGATTTTCAGCTCTTTTCCACTTTAATTAAAAATGTGCGCTCTGTTCAGAGGAAGCTGGAGACGGAACAGCAGCTCCCAAAGGCTCCTGGGCTGAAAAGCGAGGGCAAAACACTCCAAGGTGTCTGAGGGCCAGGCTTGGAGTCCTGGGGTCAGGGGCTTGGCCTGGAGCTGCCAGGGATCCTGCTCACTGTCTCCAAGGAGGGCTGGAGTCTCACACAGAAAATTCAGGATGGAGCAGGCCAAGGTCCAACCACAGGTGCCTGGGAGGGGAGCCCTGGGCGTGGGGCAGCAAGGGGGGTTGAGCGGGACCACAAGGACCAGGGGGAGCCAACACAGCACACACCACAGCAGAGATGAAGTGGGAAGCAGGGTTCAGTCTCTCTGCCCCTCCTCTGTTGGGGGGGGGCGACTCAAGAAGGGACTCTGGTGGAGACGCCTGAGACATCCACAGGGCCAGGAGGGAAGGGAGAGGTGGGGCTGGCAGGCCTGCAGGAACGACAGGACGGGAGCTGGCCCTGGGACGCAAATCCCGGTTCCGGTCCGGCTCCAGCCCTGGCAGACCTGGAGTGGAGCTTCCCTCTGAGCGTGGGAGACAGGACAGTGGCGTGTGAAGCTCCTCTCGTGTTCTGGACCGCCTCGGCGCTGCCTCCAGTGGGAAAGGAGGCGGCCCAGGGATGAGGCTGCCCACCGCTTCCTGTCCCTGTGCCGCTGGGAGTGGGGCCTTGGTCCTCCTCCCTGCCTGGTGAACCGCCAAAAAAGAATGCAGTTCCCCATCGCTTCCAGGGAAGGGGCCAAACTCCACAGAGGAGGGGCCTCCAGACCCTTCAGTATCCAGCCTCGACTCTCTGCAGCTCCCCCTTTTCGCAGTGCTGGGGCCTTGCACAAGGCAGGCAAACGCGCCACCCATTAGCTGTACCCGCAGCCCCGAGCCTCTTCTTTCTCACCAGCTCCCTGTCCCAGGAGAATCCCACTAGCAAGGTTGGGGGGACCAGGAGAGAAAGGTGACCATGCAGCAAGGCCCAGAGCAGGCAGCACCTGAGCTTGGCCTTGAGCAAGGGCAGCGCCCTGAGGAAGGCAGTGAGGACATTCCCAGACGAGGGGGCACGGAATCGAGGCACCAAGCATCCGTGACACGGGTGCCGGGTTTCAAGATGCTGGGCAGTCAGCTAGGGGCACTGGGGGCTGAGGGGAACAAGTGGGTAGAGAAGGAACTGGCGGACACTTTGGAGGTCAACTCTGAAGGCCCCTGTCCCTACCCTTTGCGGGCACCCAGCTCTGAGTCAAAAGCCTCTGCCTCCCCGAGAGTCCTGGTTCATGTGGGCTCTCTCCTCTGAGCCTGGTGGCTGTCTGGCCACCTCCAGCCCCTGTCTCCTTGGTTAGTCTGGCCTCTCCCTGGCTGTCTTGACCAAAGGGACATCCGCGGATCTCTCGTGTGACTTCTCCCACTGGCCCCATCCCATGGGCTACACTGCAAAATGGCACCCAGACCAGCCTGGCCCTTGCTTCTTCAGGACACTTGCCCAACACAGAAGAGGGCTGCTGGCCCGGTCCTACATGAGTGGGGGACCCGAGGCATGGACCCTCAACAGCCCGAGACCCCCGAGGCCCTGTGCCTTTGGCCTCTCTTTCATTGCTCCACTTTTAGAAGACGCAGGGACCCCGAGGCAGGGAGCAGCCCTATTTCGACAGAGCCCAAATGGAGCAGCTCGGGGCGGGGTAGGCAGCAGGGCAGAAAGCAAGTCTCTGTTGGCGGGCACGGCATTGCCCGGCACTCGCTCTTCCTCCCCAGTGTTAATTATCAAAATTAACCGAACACTATAAATAACCCAACTCGGAGACTTGAAGAGCCTCTCTTCTAATTAATTCATTTTCAATCAAGACATTTCTATGCCCCCTACCCTAGAATCCGAGGGATGACCAGCATCCCCCATCCCCTCCCCCGTGCTCCCTAGCGCTGGAAGCTCAGAGAAAAGAAAGAGCGGAGGAAAAATCAGTCTGCTTTCTTGGAAGGGGGTGGCCTATAAATAACCGCATATTGGTGCGCTTGATGGACGATATTGGAGTCTGGATTGGCTTTGGTTGGGATGAGGACAGGGGGAGGTGGGGCCAGGGTGGCAGAGACTTCCATCTGCCACCTCGTTTACTGGGCAATAAATTTTAAAGCAAGACTGTGAGTACCGTCCAAGGCCTCGGTGTTGGCTGGAGCTGGGGAGACTGATCGATAGAGGAGGAGGATGGGGAAGGGGGAGAAAGAAAGAGAGAGAGGGAGAGAAAACTGCAAGCTCTCAAAAATCCGGAGAGCATGAGAAACCGGAAGAGGGAGGAGAAAGAAAGAGGAGAAAGGAGGAAGTGACAGGGAAGGGGAGGGAGGAAGAGGGCCATTTCCAGCCCACCTTGCTCGGTGACCCTCTCAAAGGCTGTGCTGCCTGTGTCTAGCCGCCTCCCACCAGAGCCTTCCCGGCTGTTGGTGCCCTTGGGGGTCATGTGGCCTAGGTGGCCCATCCACCTGTCCATGCAGCCCCCGACCCCCCGTAGGTCCTGGGAAGGGACCCAGGCCACGAGGATGCAGGCTGCCCCTGGGTCTGCTCAGCCCCTTCCTGGAGGAGTGCACTTGGGGAAGGAGGAGGGACAGAGACTGAGTCTGAGGGGGAGACAGGAGAGAAGAGGAGAAAGGGAAAGGGCTGTGGCCCGGAAGAAGAGAGGAGAGAAGGACAGACAGTGCAGACAGCAAGACAGGAGGCCGCAGAGGGGAGGGGCGGCTCTGGCTCGCCAGCCCTTGTCCTGTCCCTGCTTGGGGTTACCTTCCTGCAGAGCGGTGGGCATGTCAGCCCCATCCTCTCCTGAGCTGGCCTTGATTGGTGAGGTTGTAACCAGGGATCCTTCAGGAAATGAGTGCTCCCTTCCAGATTGCTGTTGGGCTGGGCATAGTGGCGCACACCTGCAATCGCAGCCCTCAGGAGCCTGAGGCAGGCGGATTGCAGCAAGTTCCAGGCCAGCCTGGGCTACTTAGTGAGATGACTACATGCAGTACTCACAGTACCAATAGTAGAAGTGCTGGTCCTACCAGCAGCGCTAGCTCCATTTCCCCATCTGGCCCTTGGTTGTGAGTGCTTCCGGGTGAGCAGCACCCACATCTCCCGGGCTGGGAGGACCTTTGCACCCCCACCTTGCTCCCCAGACTGCGGGCTCCCTGAGGGCAGCGCTGCATCCCCCACCCCATGCTGGAGGCTATGAACACCCTGGGGTTTCAGCCCGGATTTTCTTCTTGTGAGTGCCTGACCCCTGGTGAGCCTTTCCGGTCCACAGGGTCCCGGGCCTGGAGCAGGTTGCTGATGGAGCAGGATCCATCTTATGTCCTGAGGGGCTGACGAGTGAATCTCTATGCTCTCTCTTCCCACCCCAGCCACCTCCCTTTGGACACAGGCCACCTGGTCCTCCTCCTGCAGCTGAGATTCAGGTGGACCAGGTGGGGAAAGTGGCCTTCCCCACTACATCCTGTCCCACCTGTACCCCTTTCAGCACGCTGGGGAGAGGGCTGCTGGGAGCCACCCTGGGCAAGCTGATCCCCATTACCCCTTCTCTGCTTCTCATTATGGCAGCCCAGGCGACTGCAGAAACACGTCATTTCCCCGAGGCTTTTCTGTCCTTCTTCTGCCTTTTGAGGTCCTTGTCCCATCCCCAGCCTCCTCAGAGGTACCTCCTACAGGGATGGTGCTGGCGCCTGGAGTCACCCAAGCTCTATGGGGGGCCCTGGTGACCCTCCATCTCAGCCCGACTCAGACTCAGGGGTCCACACTGTCTTTGAGTCGAAAACTCTCCCCTCTTGCCCCTTCTTCCTTCCCCGTGGGCTCCACTGCCAGCGTACACCCCCAGCTTCCGAGGAGGACAGCAATGCCCGCTGGGTCCCCCACAGAAGTCCCTGGGGGAAGGTGGGGCAGACAGTCCAGTGGACCAATGAATGGCAGGGATGAGGCGCCAGGGGGCCCAGAGGAAGTTGGCCAAAGCCAAGGAAGCTGCCCGGGTCTGTGTCCCCAGCCCCCTGCCCTCCCCACGTCCCGCCCATACCCACAGTGCTGTGTGGGTGTCACCTCCCCCCAGAAGCCCTCCAAACACTCAGCCTGGAGGACCCGTGTGGACCTCGTGCCAGTCACCTGCACACTGGCACGGCCACTGCTTTGCTTCCCTCTCCCTCTGTGCACTGAGGAGGGGTGGCTGTGTCTGTTCTTGGGGTGTCCTGCTGCCTAGTGTGGGGCCCATAACTGCGGGTGACTGATGGTGGGTAAAAGGGGCGAGGAGCAGCTCCATGATCCCTGCAACTCATTAAGCCTATATGTGCTGTGCTCAGGGCCAGAAGGGAGCAATTGTATGTTGTTTTTCCTGTTTTAAAAACTCACCTTTAAGGTCGGATTATTGTATTTACATTCCGCAAGTGACTTTTTAAGGGCTTTCTGCTGTCAGCCAGGGGATGGTGGAGTCCCCGGATGAAGAGGCCTGGGCCCTTGCTGCTTCACCCCCCACTACTGGACAGTGGCCTGGCCAGGCCTAGATCTGCTGGAGGGAGGAAGCAAGGCAGCTGCAGGGCCCAGATAGCCCTGATTAAATGTCTAAATGGACAGGCAGCGCCCAGATGGAGTGTGGCAGACATTGTCCCTGCCCTCTGGGGCTTCTGGGATAATACAGACACACAGATGGGGACAGACCTGGATGGGCAGCCAGGGATGCAAAGAAAACAATGTGAAATCAGACGCTTATGAGTGTGCACATGCATATATGGTGACCCTCTCTCCCCTCTACCTGGTGAACTCCTATTCATCCTTCAAAGCCCAATTCATGTACCTAATCATTCAGTGATTAAATTTGTCGTGGATATCTGTTGCCCAGTACCACTTTGTCAGTTATTGCTTACAAGAAATCTCTCCTTGTTTTACACATAAAAGCTTACTTTTACTGCACTTTCACCCCGCTGTCCCCTCCAGGTGTGGTCCTGTGACAACACCTCCGGCCATCTGGTGGTTCGGGGATGGCCACATCATTAAATCCACCCAGGAAGGGTCGGCCCTGGCATTCTTTGTGCTGAGGGTGCAAGAAAGCAGAGCCAAGGATGCTCAAGGACAGCTTTCATCACCGCACTCGGATGTGCCTGGACCTTGACCTTAACTCTACTCCCGGAAATTTAAGTTGCGTTCAGCCTCAAATCTCCCCTCCGCCCGGAAGCCAGTCTGAGATGGCTCTGTCACTGATGACCCCAGAGCTCCTGGCTTCTCATATTCACTCATCAAACACCTTGCTCCAGCTCTGTGCCAGGCCCTGGGGTGGAGCCCAAGGATAACTACGGCCCACTGCTCCCAATATTGCTCCTTTCAGACCCCCTGGCACACACACTATTCACTCAACAACCTGCCAGGCTCTGACGCCTGCCGCTGCCCCTTCGCCTGGGAGACTTTGGTGATGGGCACTGTGTGGGTGAATCCCCAGTGCCTGGGGCAGCGCCTGGCATGTGCTAAGTGCTCATGTACATCTGTGTGTTTGTGTACACGGGGGGGAGCAAGCAGACATCCAAGGAATAGGAAAATATGTTGGAGGACTCGGCAGAAGAGAGGGCCCCGGAAGCTTCTAGACCCAGCTAGAGCTCTGCCAGAAGAAGCAGCCCATTGCTCGCTCCGGCCAGTCTTTCTGTGGAAGTGTCCTCCATCTGCACTGCAGGTCTCGAGGTTCTGCCCTTGTCCCAGCCCGCGCACGGGGCCACCTGCTGTCACCCGCACCTGTGTGCAGGACCCACAGAGCCTCCGCTCCCACGGTGTCCTCTCCTCCTCCACACGCCTTCCTCCTTCTTCCTCTTTGCCCCTCTGCCTCCTCCTTTCCCCATCTCTTCCCATCCCTCTTTCTCCAGGCTTGTCCTCCATCTCCAGCTCTGCCGTCTCCTGCAGGCTCCATTCTCCCAGCCCTGGTCTGCAGCCGGGTAACTTTCTACAAACAATTCGCTCGGTAATCCATTCAATTGCATTACAGCCTCATTAGGAGCTGATAGCATTTGGGGAGAGGACCGGGCGGAGGGGAGGCTGAGAGCCGCGCCAGCTCAGTGCCCGGAAGTGGAGCACTCCTGTTTTCAAATTAACTTGAGCGCCACATATTTCATTAGCTCCCCATATTTCCCCAGTCAAATGATCCCGGGCATCTCTGCTTCCTCTTCTCTCTGCCTGAGTTTCTCCTCCTCTACCTTCCTCTCTTCCCGGGAGATGCGCCATGGAAGCAGGAAGGATGTAGATCACACAGCAAGAAGGACCCCAGCACTCAGAGGCTGAGGCAGGAGGATCGCTGAGAGTTTGAGGCCAGCCTGGGCTACACAGTGAGTTCAAGGCCAGCCTGCACTACATAGCGAGCCCCTGTCTCAAAAAACACAAGCAAAAAAAATGAGAAATAAGCACTTCCCAGCTGATAGTCTTGGAAGCACCCTTGGACAGGAGGGGAAGCGGGGAGACAGTCTCCAGCACTGAGTGACCATGGTCCTATGCGGCACAAGGGAAGGCGGCTGCCTCAGCCCTAACCTGGGAGTGTAGGACCCACAGAGCAGCCAGTGGGGGTCTCCAGGCCCAAGACTCTGAATGGGGCACTGGGGAGACAGCTGCACACATCTGGAAGAGACTTACCGGGCTCCATTAGCCCAGGCACCAACCGGCTGCTTTTGATGTTTGATCTTGCCCTGGCGCGGGGAGGAGCCTATGAGATGTCAGGGACCACTCACGGAGACACCCCTGCCACCAGCCAGCCTCCCCTTCCCAGACCCCCTGGCAGTCTGAGCCGACTTCCAAGGCATAAATGAAATACCAGAAAACCAAAAGGCACACCCCTGCTCCCACCCACAGCAGTGGGGCCAAAGCCAAGCTCTGGGTGTGGGGGTGGGGAGCCTCCTGCCTGTCCGCCCCCCCCCTCCCCCCTCCCCTGTCCATCCCAGGCCCCAGGAGAGAGCTCAGTGCCAGACCACAGTCAGGCCTTGTTTAGGTTCTATTGGCAGAGGGCAGGTCATTGAGGGAGGTTATTTTCAGTGGGCAGGGGAGTGACTTCTGAAGACCAATTTGATTTTTTTTTAGATTTATAGTTTTATTATAGCAACAAATAATTGTCACAGTGAGATCTACACACATATACAGAATTATAAATTTATATAGAACAATATTACATTTTTAAGTTATATTCTTGAAATTAGAAAGTGAAGTACAGGTTCAGTTTTACAACAAAGAAGAAAATATAGAAGACAAAAGTAGAATCAACAGTAAAAATACAACTATTCATCCTGGATTGTAATGTATGGAAACTTTTCGTCA